CTTTTCTTTTCTAAGGCAGACAATGTATGATAGCACTAGCAAACTTCATGGGCTGCTTCTGTCATAATGACTGATGCTGGTAATTATGAAATAACAAATATTACCAGTCCAAAGATTCACTTCATGAAAAAACAAAATGCAGTCAATGTTAAACAAATGCTGAGAGTATATGCTCTGTGGCACTCTATAACACATCTGTTATTTACCTGAATTCATTGACATTTATAAGAATTTTGAAAATCAGGGGTTCATATTGTTGCTTTTCGTATGTACAAAATGAAGATCAAAATATGCTACACCGCTGACCGTGAATGTACGTCTATTACTGTATTTGAAACCAGGCAAACCTATTTCGGCATGTCATTCTGTGCAAACTACTCATCTGTCAGAATAAACTTTCTCAAGAGAATACTGATGTGCTCCTTTGTCAGTAACATTCCAGGACTGTCTGTGGGTGTTCCTTTACCACAGCATGGTCTCTCGTCTCATACTGTCACATAACAGGCTTCCCTTTTCTTTTCCATAGAGTTGGGTCCGCATTCCACAATCCGCACAGTCCCAGAGTGCCTCTGTACTTGGATGACCAGTACTTGTCAGAGGCCTGAGTTTTCCTAGGACTCTCCAAGGCATGCTTTCATATATTCAGTCCTTTAAACACTCCTATTTTATTCTGACCTATGTCCCCCATCTCCCAAACAAATGTGTGATGAAGGCTTAAATAAATGAGACAAGGGGTATGATTTTAAGGTTCCAGAAGGATCAAAACCCTTTAGCTGAGTTTGAGACTTGAAGGCTAAGACCTAAGACATCTCTGAACTCCCCATATTTATTGGGTTCAAACAAAGAGTGAGGAAACTGAGGAAAGCACAAGAAATGAGCAGATGAGTCACTATAAAGACTTCCCTAAGTGATAAATTATGCCAGCTTAGGAGAACCCTCTTATCTTCATGTTAACATTTACTGTAGGAGTGAGACTGCAGGAGTGAGATGCCTGCAGCTGCAGTCTCGGCTTATTTAATTAGTGCTGCAGCTAAGGTGTCCTCAATTGTGGCCTTATCCTGCCTTTTGAGGTATCTCTGGCCTCACAGGCCACTACAGCCCTGAGCCAGAACCAGTGATTCACAGAGGTTCACTTACTATGAATCGTCTCCCGTCACCAGGCAAGGGATGGGATAGACTTAGGACAGACTCGCAGATAAACATAGGAAGCCAATTAGTAAATTTTAAATCCTGCTCAGAGCTGCTTCGTAGTGGTCTCCAATCCAATACACTCCTGTTAAAAGTGATGTTTTCTTACTTGCATGCTTTGAGTGTGCATCTATGTTGAAGTAGAAACTGTACTTTTCTGTCCTGAGGTGAAAATACTTGTTGATAGCTTCTGTGCCCTCAAATTAGTGCTAGAGCAACTGTATCAATTAAGAGTAGGATAATCTATGAGAAGCAGATAAACATCATAAATAATGTACATATGTCATTTTCATATATAAATTCTAGGGTTACTTGTGCACAAGTGGTCAGGCTGATTTGATTCATAAATGGTTGAGGACCAGGACATCTCCTACAAGGACCACTAAGGTTTCATTCAAAATTCCTTGGTGATGTTCAAGTATAAGACAGTAATTCTGCATGTCTCACTCCTCAGCCAGACCTAGAAACTAGAGAAGATAACTCTGATTTACAACTGCTTATGGTGTCTGAAATTATCTACAATAGAGTATAAGGTGCTGTGCCTACTTCATTTTCTCCTCATTCTCCATGTTGAATCCACAGTGTACATTCAATCAACAGTTTTACAGGTGAACTTGTCCCGCAGAAATAGCTCTGTGTAATTACTATGTATTTAAGAAAAAGCCATGCCAACTCATGATAGTTGAATCATGTCTGGATGGGATTTGCTTTAGTTTAAGAATATTAAACAAAAACAAAAGTCTAAGGACACCTAGAAGAATATGAGATCCAGGAAAGCACGAGAAGAGAGAGTATCAAATAGAGAGGCAAGGTGAGGATAGTAAGTCCCTGAGAGCCTGCTGTTGTGTTAGGAGGAGGTCAAGGTTGTTTCACTTATCAGATTTACAGTTGGGATGGGAACAGCAGACACAGTGGGGAGGGTGTGGATCCCAGGAGACAGGCTCTGTTTCAGTGAAGAGTAGCATGTCTGGATCAAAAGAGATAAGCATTTAGTGGCAAGAGCTCATGCTCTATTTCATTTACTCTTTAAATGAAATCAAATCAGAATGGGTGTAGAAAAATTCACAAATCCATTGAGAGAGAGAGAGAGGTGGAGAGAGAGGAAGGAAGAAAGGAAGGGGGAGAGAGACAAAGAAAGAGAAAATGGCAATTCATATTTATTGTAGAAATTTCTTTTTCTACATATAAGATCATGTCATCTGAAAGCAGAGATAATATTAGATACTTCTTTCCAATTTGAATGTCTTTCATTTATTTTTATTCCCCAGCTGATATCTTTATTGTGTTACTCAAGTCTTTGATTCTATTCCTTATCTTCTGAGGTATTGAAGTTTCCAATTTTAGTTTAAAACTTTTTATTTTTGCTGCAGCTATTTCAATTTATGCTTCATAGATTTTGAAGATCTGCTTATAGGTACATAAATGTTCATGATTTTTATACTTTCTTTTATTAACACTTTTCCTACTGTATAATATTCTCCTTTGTCTGTTTCACTTCTTTTTATTCAAAGTCTACTTTGACTGATATAGTCGCTGTTGTTTTCTTTTGGTTACTGTTTTCATGGATTATCTTTTGCTATCCTTTAACTTTCAAGTTATTTGACTTTAAACAGAGTCTCTTATAGATACAACATAGTTGTTATGCAAGTTTCTCTGTTTCTTTTTTCTTTCTCTATCTCTTCTCCTCTTCTTGCTTTTCTTTTTCCTGTTCCATGCTTTCCTTTCCTTCCCTGCCCTGCCCTGCCCTGCCCTGATCTTCTCTTCCTTTCCTTTCTTTGCCTCCCCTTTCCTTCTCTTCCCTGTATACATACACTGTGCCAAGCTCAGATTTTCCATTATACAATCACATATTTCTATTTAAGGTAATCACTGATAAAATGGGACTTCTATCCATTTCCTGTTTTTCCTTTGTTTTCTAGCTTTTACATTCCTCACTCTATGTATTATTGGATCCTTATTATATAGTTGAGATTTGTGGGGAAATGTTTTTATGCCTCTGTATCTTCTGTTGTACATATTCTATTACTACTTTCTAATTGTTACTGTAGAGTTATATTTACTAGTCCAAAATCATAACATTCTTATTTGCATTTACAGAAGCCTCTTTTGGACAAAATACAAAAACTCTGATCATACTAGCTTCCTTCTCACACCTTTCAGTTTCTAATGTCACCAAATTATATTTGTAGAAAATGTTGCCCCCACCCCAGGAACTGAGAACTTTTGAAAATTAATCCGTCTCTTACATCATGTGGTGAAAAAGGAGTCACCAACCACAGTTACAGTGAGCCTAGAATTGGAAGAAGAACTGCACCCCGTAACTGAGGCTGCACCCACCTTGCCTGCCATTTCTGTTCCTCCTCATTCTCAGAAGCCATTTGTAACAGAAAGGAAAGGTTTAAGGCAGTGTTATGTTGCAGGCAAAAAATATTTTGAGAGTGACCATTTTTACCAACTCCTGTGCCCATCAGTGTCATCAAGGAAAATCCCCAGTTTTCCTCTAGCCTGGCTCCATTTCCTCCTCTTATTTTTCTGTTGTTATCTCATAGGAGTTCGAAACTATCCTAGAATCACTTTCTTATTCTAACAAAGAAAACTGAACCTGGATGGGAAACTAACTTGTATTTCTGTCTGTTTGGGCCCCTCACTTAGATGGAATGCAGGAGAAATAGTAGCCTTAGGCATAGAGGGCTAATTCTAACACTTTAGTTAAGGGACTCTGAAAGATTTGCTGTATATAATGCCAGAGTGGCAGAATCATTGGCCCACTGAAAGCAGTTAATACAGAAAATAATCTTGTATGACTTATACTCCAACTTCAAGGCCGTGCTTTCTTGCTGTTTTCTCCCTATCCAACAGGGCAGTTGGGAAGTACAGCAGGATGGAAGGAGGCAGAAGGAAGAAGCCACTGCTCAACAAGGCCCTGAGAGAGGCCTACATTGTGCTCTTTGAGTCAGAGGAAGGACTTCAGCTCCGTTAGTGCAGAGGAGGGTGGGATGCTGCCTCAGTTTCCCAAACAGGACTTTTGCCTACAGAGTCAGATTGGTGCTTGAGGAGGAGCAGTGCCCTCTGAGGATGCTGGATATGAGGTGAGGCCTCCACAGTTGAGAGCACAGTGGTCTGGGGCAGCCCCACACTCTGGGGTTGGCTGTATTGCCCTCCTGCCCCTTCCACCCAGCTTCCTTGTGAATTTCATGACTCTCTGTTCAATAATCTCCAGAATCTGTGGGGTGCTAGAGCAGAGATTGGTGCCTGGAAGATGATATGGAATGAACTCGCCTGCCACTGGTGAGATGAGGGACAGGACCTCAGCTGCCCTGGCTCCTGTCGGGACTCTCACCCTTCTGCTTCTAACCTGCTTATACAATAGCCAGGGTGCAGATCTAAGGGAATGGCTCCAGGCTCCCAGACACTCCTGGCTTCACAATTGACTTTAAAGAACATCAAAGGCAGCTTGGTGCACAGAATTGCATTTCAGAATCCTGATTTTGAGATACCATGTTTGGGGAAGCAAGAGGATTATTTATTTCCTCACATTTGCTTCTCCCTCCATTTCCCCTCCCCTCTTCTCTTCTCTCTTCTTGTCCTTTCTCCCCCCTTTTCTTTTCTCCACCCTCTCTTCTGTCACCCTCTTGTCCTCCACTTTCACTTCTCTCTCCCTCTTCTCTCATTTCTACTACACTTTAGAAGTATACTTGTTACACTTGTTATGTCGCTTCTTTTTCATTAACAGTAAAATTACACGTGTATATCCCACAATTTGACATTCCAGATACAACAATTGCAGAGACTCTTTTATCGTTCCTGATTTTGTTAGATTTATCTCTCTTTTATCTCGGTCTAACTCAAGATTTATGGATTTTGTATCTTCAAAAAACTAACTCTGTTTCATTTATTTTTGTGTCAATTTTGATTGTCTGATTTATTTCTGCCAATATTTTTACTATTGTTTGTTTCTTGTTATTGTGGTTGACATTTACTTGATAGCATCAGACTTATGCCATGCTACAGCTGTCAAGTCACTGAAGCTATGCTTGTATGACATGTTTGTACATCAAGCATTTTCTGGGGTGGAGGCCACTGCCTGCTGCACTTGTGAGATCCTGGGCACCAGGGCTACAACCTAGGATGCTGAAGTGATTTCCTAAGTAATTGGGCCAAACACTGTGCACAGTTAGGAATCAATAGCTGTTGAAAAGTACACAGTGTGGTTGTAAATATCAACGTCATGTGGCTAAGCTAAGTATTAGCACTATGGCAGATCAAGATCAGTGAAAGTAGCTACTTGCTCAACACTTTCTAGGTATGCGAGTTTACAGAACAGTGGGTTATATTTTGGTCCATGATACTGACATACACTGTCCACTGCTATCTAAGTGCTGCTCTGTGTCCAGTTTTAGCTTTCTACTGCAGCCATAACAAAGAGCCCAGAGACAATTTTGATTTAGTTGTTTTTTCTAGGGGCCCTGACTCATGCTCTATGTTGTACCAGTTTCATTTAAATTTACTTGCACACCTGGTGAGGAGGGCTGAGAGAATTTTACCTGATATGGTAAAATATTGGCCTTTTCAAGTGCTTCCACCTAGGGAACATAAAGGTGTCAAGTAGCTCTGTCTTTATTAGGCAATATGTACATGTAGACTGTTAACTAAATGGGGAATGAAACCTTGTCACTTAGCAAAGAGCTCCAAAAATATGTGCATGCTCTTATCCCCATACAGGGTACAGTAAATGCTTACATTTTATTTCATGCTTGGCCTCTCATTAAATGGGTCTTTTCCAACCACGTCATTTCCTGGAAATTCATGGACATTCTAGTCCTTTGTATTATTTTTTAATTTTTATTTTAAAGAGAAAAAAATTAAAAATAATAAGAGTTTCAAAACAGGCTTGCTGGAGATTAATAGTGTTTAACACATTGTATGTTGTTATCTTCATAGTACTTGCTTAGAGTACAAGATATATGCATGAAATATTTACCAAAAAATAGTAGCTTAAACTTTTCTTTTCAATGAGCTAAAAGAAATTGACTGTAGACCATGTGCCTTAGAAGAGACAATCTATCCCGTACTGTGAAAGCAAGCACATGGTAGGTCTGTTGGATTCCATAAGAGAGCATAGTCTTCAACAGTTTGCATAATACCACCCAAGTAATAAAGTTAAACTACTTCAGCAGGGAACAAGACTAAAGTGTGGACTTGAGCTCCAATTCCATGGTGGCAAGGTGCAGGCATCTTTGAAGCAGCCTCCAGAATCTCTACTTTCTCTTTGTCTCAAATAAAGCCCAGCTTCTCCTGCACATCTGTTTGTCAGGGAATGCTAGAAAAGGCATTGTCTAAATACAGCACAGGAAGATCAGAGCCATGAGAGGACCTGATATTTTTTCTAGTAACTAAATAATGATAAGGGACAAACCATAGACAGGAGATATCACTTTCCTACCGTATAGTTGACAGTCATTGCACAAACTCCATCTAGTTTTTTGAGAGGCCACACAGATCAATTGAAAGAACTGAAATAGGTCATAAAATCCAATCTCATATAACTCACCATCACTCATGCCTCTCTGGTCACTCGCCTTAGCATTCTGAAGTGATGTTGGCCATACCTCTAGTCATATGACTCATTGCCATTATCCCCCTCAGGGTATTCTACCTCTCTTCAAACACACTTATCGCATCCTTCTTGCCACTTTCTGAAGGAGTTCTGGAAGTTCTCTTCTGTGAGGTCCGTGAAAGTGTGATCAAGAGCTTCTATACTTCTGGACGGAGTGGTGGTCCCGGTCCGTGAGCTGGCGATTCCATCACCCGCAGCTTGTCCCTATCCTGTCTTTTGGGTTACAGGCTGCACTGGATGGAGCTGTCAGCTCATGTTCCCGCCATGCCGGGGTGGATCATCAACTTGCCAGCTTTACTAAGGTCCCTTCGCCTGGGCTCCTTTCCCGAGAAGTGGCACCCTGGCCTAAATCCCAGCCCGCCACGCTTCCTCGGGCTCCTCTGCCTGCTGTGTGCTCCCTTTAAATAGGGATCATAAATTAAGGAATCAAGGCCCTTTGAAGAAATGACTGATGCCAGAGCAGAAGCTGGGGACAACGAATTAAGACCCTTCAGACAGTCTCAACAAGAAGTCAAGGATTTCACCTAGAAAATATCAAGAAGACACAGGAACTCACATAAGGGGCTGCCCACTGAAAAAGTAAGATATATATACTATTAAAATTTAGAACAGAGACTTCTGGGAGAACATGGCAGACAGATAACAGCTACTACAGAGGCTCTCTGAAAGACTCGGCTCAGAAGTCAGGAAGGATGCGGAGTAAGGAGACATCAGCTGGTGGAGATATGCTCTGCTGACTCAGGAACGAACTGGGCTAGAGAAACCAACTTGGAATGCTGTCCTGGTGCTAAAACAGGAACAGAAAAGCCTCAGTGTGGAGGCTGGAGCCCACACCATTGGAAGCCGCGATTTGGGTTTCCCGCTGCGGCGGCTGCCTCTACATCAGCTCAGCAAGGAGAGAGACCCGCGGAAGCTCTGAGAATGGGAATCTGCGAACGGAGTCGAAAACAGGAGGGGCAGGGAGGCGTGCACTGGCTTGTGGTGAGGTGAGTGAGAGAAACTGACACTCTACCACAGTTTGACTCCAGCGGAGGTCATTCTGGGCCCGGGCAATCCTGTGGGAGCAGAGTGCGGTGGCGACTTCAGCCACACATCCCCCTCTCAGGCGGGATTGGTGAGTGGTGCCTAGCCTGCGTGACGCTGCTGGCGGACCCAGTGGGCCGGCCCAACTCAGATCCCAGAGCCTGACGGTGGCCAGGAGGGACAGGCCCCATATAGGCTGCCTGGTCTGGAACTTCCTGGTGCGCTGCGGTGGGCGGGAAAAACTAACTGGTGCAATTCAATCAGGCTGTGGCTGACAGGGAGGGAAGCTGAGACTCCTATGTAAGCTTGCATATATAAGGAACAGAAAATATGGGAAGAGGCAGCAACAAGAAAGTCTCCTCGGCCCCCAATTCTGAGAAACAGGTAATAGCAGACACTGCACCAATAGACATAAAGCGCCATATAGAGAGCCTCATAGATAGTTCAGGAATGAAGTTATCAATGACCTGAAGCTAGAAGTATGCAGAATAGTTAGAGAAATGCTAAGCACCACCCAAGAAAAAACAGATGGTGGAATGGAAGAACAGAAAAAGAGGGGATAATTGTTCGATGGAGAAAACAGAGAAAGCATAGAATACGTGAAGCAGGTTCAAAGGGACTACCAAGAAACAAAGAAGTCTATCAAAAACTGGCATAACAGCTTGAAAGAAACTAAGGACAGACTATCTGAACTGGAGGGCAGATTTGTAATATGGGAGAATGAAATGAAAAACTTCTTAAAAATAACAAAGAAACAAACAGCAATAATACAAAGACGAGAAGATGATAAGAGGATCCATAACTTAAGGATTAAGAACATAAAAGAAAAAGTAGGGATACAAACAAATGAACTACAAAAGCTACTCACAGAAATAATGCAGGAGAATTTTCCTAATTTAGCAAAAGGTAAAGATACTCAGATGTATGAGGCATACAGGACCCCAGCTACCTACAACCCAAACAGAGAAACACCCAGGCATATAATAATAAAAATTCCAGAAATTCAATACAAGAACAGAACATTAAAAGCTGTCAGAGACAAGAAACAGACCACTTAAAAGGGAACACCCATCAAACTTACAGCAGATTTCTCTGCACAAACCATCAAATCACAAAGAGCGTGGGGGGAAATAATTCAAGCTTTGAAAGATAATAATCTCCAGCCAAGATTAAGATATCCTGCACAACTGTCCCTGGAAATTGATGGAAAAACAAGGTGCTTCCAGGATAAAGAGGAACTGGGGGAATTTGCAACCACCAATTCAACTCTACAGAGAGTATTGCAGGATATTCTAAAAAAAGAAAAATACAAAGAATCCAGAAATAGTGGCAGGGAGGCCACAACGAATGGAGCAGAGAACAAAATGAAGAAGACAAACTGACAGCTACTGACAGAAAAAGAGCTCAACAGAAATGAGGCAGAGAAGATTGGATGATAGGAACAGCTTTTGGAGAAAATGACACCTTAATAGGTAATACTGATCTAGTATCATCTTGTTTTGAAGTCTCATCAAGCTTTTGTTCTTCTGTCTCCATTGGTCTAAATAGGTTGTATTGGATTTTATTATGTACAATAGTATAAGCAAAAACCTTTTAAAGACAAGGAGATTATACAGAAACCATTGTTCATTTTCTGTTAGTCGATTCTAAATACCCTGTAATGCTATCATTCTCTTAAATGCTTTTACATTGTTTTGATATATTTAATGCTACAGTACACGAAGTTGTACTCAAGGATTTCAAGGAAAGAGACAATATGGTAACTACTTCTATGTCAGGATTATCTGGTGGTGAAACACTATTCTGCTTAAATGGTTATGTTTTGATCTGCGCTGTTTTGCTGTTATGCCCTCTTTTATCTCAATCTCCACTCCATTATTTACTTTTTTATTTTTATCCTTTTAATTAAGGGAAAAATAAATAAAAATAGCAGGATATATTATAGTAACCCACTTTGACTTTCCATTATCTCGATTTAAAGCCCTGTATTACTCTCACCATCTTGTTTTTGACTGATGTTCCCCTATTCTGTTTTGCTGGATAGTATCAGGTTCAAAAGTTTAGGCAACAGCTGTGAAGATAATGAGATTCTTTAAGACACCCATTCTCATTGACTTTTATCTACTTTTGAAGACCTACAATGTCTCCAATGTTTTGGTTTTGTCGGTTTTGTTCTTTACTGTTTTGTTCAATTTTATTATAACTAATGATATAGACAATTCTATTAGAGATAGTGGGAGGCATTATGGTAACCATTGTTGATCACCTTGTATTATGTTTTTACATTATCTATTATGTCCACCCTTTTGATTTGACTGACTCTGTTCTGTTATGTCACATTTGGTTTTACTCTCTTCCAAAAATGTAATAAGAACCGTGGGAGCAATGAAACCCAAAATGTGCAATAGTCATTGTATAAAAGAGAGGAAAAGAAAGCGCTCTAAACTATATAACTGCATGTATATTTAAGTGTATAAGATAGAAAATGATATAACTGAGTTTTATTGGATCATTGAACAGAACTGTTTGCAGTATCATTGTTGGAATGTCCACTTTACAAGCTTTAATTTTGTGACTTGAACAATTATTTCTAAGATGACAATATGTAACCCATTAACTAGTGATTTCCTACTGTTTATTTTTTTTTCTGTAAATCTGTATAACTTGTACCCTTTCTCTGCTTTTTTTTTCCTTCTTAAATAAAATTTAAAAAAATTAAAAAAAAAATGAAAGTGTGATCAAGAACATGATGAAAGGGGCTGGGGACTTAGCTCAGCGGCATAATTGCCTACCTTGCAAGCAGGCAGTCATGAGTTTGATCCCTGGTACCGATAAAAAGGAAAAAGACAAAAAAACAAAACAAAAAAAAATGATGAAAAATGCTTTCTAACAGAAACAGAGGTCTAAAAACTCCACGATGTATCTTTATCCACCTTGTTCAATGTGTTTAGCACTGTGTGACTTCTGATTCTTTCATAAAGTCAACATGATCCAGAAAGGTAAATACCTTTAATTTACTCGGAATATCCTGGATGCTATGACAGCACAACTAAAGTAGTTGAAGAGGACTTCCAACACTCAACCGAAAATTGCAGGAGTAATGGGTAAGTTTGTTAGAAACAAGGTGAGTATTTGCTAGTGGTTCAATGGAATGAGTCCTTACCTTACATACCTTTTTAAAATAAATGCCTATCATGTGAAGTATGGGTAAGATAAGGTATTTTTATACAATAAAATACTACCTAGTTATAAAGAATATACTTGGCGCTTTTATAGGTAAATGGATGCAATTTGAGACCACACTCATAAGTGAAATAAATCAAACTCACATGTGTAAATATCACATTGTTTCTCTAGGGTTAAAAAACTGTAAGATTAAAAGATCCAACATGTACAATATATATCGTGAAAGTGAAAGGGAAGAAAGTGCTCAAAGAGAAAGATCAACAAGGATGGGGAAAGGAGACATGGAAGAAGGAAAAGATTATATGAACATAGGTATACATTTAGATGTGTGCATGTATATACTAGACAGATAACTGTAGTACTAATCTCTGTAAGTCCATCAAAAGAATGATTCATGCTTTCATTTTTTGATAGCTTGACCATTTTTAAAAGCCTAAACATTGTAACCTGAACAATAACTTCTAAGATAAAAATATGCAAAATACTAACTAGTGTTAATGTCCTACTATTTCTTTGAAATTCTGTATCATTTCTATCCTTTTTTTGTATTTTTTATTTTTAAAATAAAAGCATTTTAACAACATAAACATTTAGCATCCTTACTGAGCACATCTTGTAGAGTTTATCAAACATAAGAGAGGATATCATTTTTCCCTAGGGCTTCATTGCCTAGCACAGTTTTGAAGGAATCCAAGAACAATTCATAAAAAAAAAAGAAAGAAAGAAAGAAATCTTTGGGGCTAGGGATTTAGCTCAGCGGCATAAGCACCTGCCTAGCAAGTGCAAGGTCCAGAGTTCAATCCCTGGTACCGCTGGAAAAAAAAAAAAAAAAAAAAAAAAAAAAAACACTTCATATCCCTGGAGCGCAGCCACTTTTTATTTTCCTGGCTCTTCTTCATTTCCCAATTCCATTTTACATCCTTCAGTCATTTCCTTGCTTTGAGAGCTATTAAAACTTGCCAAAAAATGATTTAGCATCATTTTGAAATTCTTAGGAATGTGGTACATCTTGATATTCTCTCTTCCAATAGACCTGTCAATGAATTTTTACACACAATTTCATCTCTCTATGAAAAACTGGAGATTATAGGTGAGTAGTAACATTTTCTCTTACTTTTTCATAATATTGCAATATCCATTTAACTATAAGAGATAAGAGTATGAGCAGAAATATGTGAGAAGTGAAGTAGAGCTCAGCCACCCTTGCTTTGGGAACTCTGTGGCATAACAAGAGCAGGAGGTCAGTCTCAATGAACTGTAATTCAAGTACACATCTGAAGGCCTCTGGAGCCTGAAAGTTCCCATTCAAAATAACTCCACAAGCCAAGAGTTATTTCCAACCTGTATAACACAGAACATTAAACCAGCTAACTTCCTAGAATAAGAATATCCTCCTCCTTGGTTTCAGTTTCAATCAGAACTGTGTTTACAGGCAGCAGCATTTCAGGCAGCCTTCCATGACCCCGAGGATTGCTTTTCTGTCTGGAAAACCTTTGTACTCATTTAAAACAGGACATGTGTGAAACTGGGCAAAATTAACAGGAGCAATATCATAGTGAATGTTCTACCAAATCTCATGGTGAGTTTTCAAAAACAAGTAAATGGCCTTTGGACTTTTAAATGTCTCTGCAAATAATTTAATTGGTTTAACAAGTTTCATATAAATCTATATATAGGCCCCATGTCACAGGCAGGATTTTTTGGTCATTTCTAATGTGTTTTTCATGGAGTAGTCACAGTGATTTTAAGAAAGAAAATAGTAGTGAAAAACAAGCCATGTTGCTTTGTTTATTTTTTTTTTCTTACAGTTAGGGTAAAGCTCAGTCCCTGCACTATTTCAAGATGTCAGTATAGGAAACAATGTTTTTATTAGACCTAAAGCACAGGAAGTAAAAGCAAAAACAGACATATGAGACTTCTGTACAACAAAGAAACAACAGAAAGACAAATAATCTACACAGTGAAAAAAGGTTTTGCAAAGTTTTCATCTGTGATGGTTAAGCTTAATTGTCAACTTTATAGGTCTGAGATCCATTTAGAAAATTAGCAAAGCCTACTTCTATGTGGGTGTGGGTTTTGGTGTGGGTGTGGGTGTGTCTTGACTGTAGGTCCCCACCCCCTACTCCGTTGACACTGTTCTCCTCTGATTCAACCACCATGAAGTGAGAATAGCGGACAGTCAACTTCTGGCTTCCATTTGACGGGCTCTATCATGTGCCATGAAGGGATCCAGTTGTGAAAAGACACATTGATCCCTCTACCCAAGACACCTCAGAGAGGCCACTGCTGAAATTACTATAATGGCAGGACTCTCCACACCACTATGTATTTAGAAACCCTTATTGTTTTATCGTCATTTCTTTATTTCTTTGTCTAGCATAATTACTCTGGCTAATGTTTCCAGACCTATATTTATTAAGAGTGGTGATAGTGGACATTCTTGCCTTATTCCTGATTTCAGAGTGAAAGCTTTCAGGTTTTGACAATTTAGTATGATGTGAGGTGCTGGTTTGTCATAGCTGGCTTTTATCAAATTGAAATTGAGGCCATCTGTTTCAATTTTCTGTGGGTTTTTTTTTTTATCATGAATGTCTGTCATATTGTTCCAAATTCTTTTTCTACATATATTGAGATAGTCATATAGTTTTTGTCTTTGGCTCAGTCAACTTGGTATATTATATTTATTGATTTGCATGTGTTGAACCATCCTGCATCCCTGAGTTATGAACCCTTGGTTATGGTGTTTAATCTTCTGGTTATTTATGGCATTCTGATTGCCAGTATCTTATTGAGGGTTTCTATGCTTATGTTCACTAGGGAAATTGGCCTACATTTCTCTTTTCTGGTTGAGTCCTTTTCTAGTTTTGGTATCAAGGTAGTGCTTGCTTCCAGGAATTATTTTGAAAGTATTGCCTGCCTTTTAATTTCCTGAAGGAGTTTCAAAATTAGTGTATTAGTTCTTAGTGTGAGACCCTACATTTGACCTGATACTTGGGTTGATATAAATGTTTTGAGATAAAATTTGGTTTAATTTGTGCAAGAAGCTTTGTAAGGTTGGATTATAAATAGATTGACATCTCTTCTGAAATGACTGAAGAACTTGCCTGTGCTTATTATATAGAAATAGCTTTTGAATATTTGAGTCTAATTTAATGTATTGATACCAGTTCTATAATATGCATTCGAGGCCAACAGTGCTTGGAAACACTGGATAGTGAGAGACTGACCCAATTTTGGTGCCCCAGTATCATGCTGGGATCACTGACACACACTGTGATAACTAAATCTTGATCAGAGTCCTCGTACATTCATATCATAGATAATACCTGAATGTTCCTACACTCTGGAGAGAGAGCTTATGGTCAGCTTCTTTGATTTTCTTCAGTCATTTCTAAACCACACTCATCCAGGTTCCAGGTTGCAATAAGGAAAACATATGTGCCCTTATGCTATTTTATTGAGGCAGTGTTACAGGTCCATACTATTTTTCCCTTCTGTTATACATTATTGTAGGATATATTTTTATTTAAGTCTGAGAGACTTGGATTATGTTCAGTCCAATCAGCCTATATAGTTGTGTGGCAAACAAATAGGCAAAGAAAGCTGAAATCATAGTGCTCTCCTGTCTCATTGGATCTTTAAACAATTTGGTTTACACTGTGTTAGGTCTTTGCAAAACAAGAAATATGAAGAAAGTGAAGTGTATTCCTAACCAAGAGCAAGGGATACCATTAACATACCTTACATATCTACAGAAAATATTCCTAAAATTCATTTCAAAACAGAAGAAACTAGAATAACAAAGGTAGTTCTGAGCAATAAAGGCAAGGCAAGAAGCATCTCAAATCCTGGCTTGAAATCACAATACAAAGCTACAGTGAGAAAATCAGCATGATATTGGCAAAGATATAGACCCGAGGATCAATAGAACAGATTAGAAGTTCCAAACACAACTACCAAAACACTCAGCCACCTGATATTTGACAAAATGGCAAAACCTGTTCACTGGAAGTATATCGTCTTTAATAAGTGGTGTTGGATAAATTGTCTTTCCATATGCCAAAGACTGATATGCCTATCACCATGTACTAAAGTCAATATGGATCAAAGATCTAAATATTAGAACAGAAACACTAAGTCTGGAAAATAAAGTAGGTAGAAATCTTGTAGGCAATGATTTCATGAACAAAATGCAAACTGCATGGGAAGTACTTCAAAGAATTAACAACTATGATCTCATCTTATTAAACAGTTTTGGCACTTAAAAAGAAATCACCAACAAAATGAAAAGAAAACCCATGGAACGGGAAAGAACATTAGCCAGCAACCCCTCAGACAACTGGACCCCTCTGGTTATATCCCCTCTGGTTATATCCAGAACATATAAAGAAATGAAAAACATTGTGTTCCCCAAATTCAAAGACCCCCTCCAAAAATGGGCATTTGATATGAACACATATTTCTCAGATGAAGATACACAATGGCAAACAAATACATGAAAAAATGTTCAACAACACTGATCATTTGAGAAATGCAAATTATAACAGTGTTGAGATTCCATCTGACTTCAGAGAGAATAGCTGCCATCAAGAAACCAACTGATAACAAATGTTGGTGAGGCTGTAGGGAAAAGGAACACATCTCCATTCTTGGTGGGAGCATATGCTAGTGCAACCACTGGGGAAATCAGTATGGATAGACCTCAAAAAACTAGGATTGGAAGTTCCATTCAATCCAGCAATTCCCCTCCTGGGTATTTTTGAAGAAAAAATTGAAAAGGTCATGCCATGTTTATAGCAGTGCAATTTGTAATAGCTAAATATTGGAAACAACCAAAATGGCCATCAACCACAGAATGGATGAACAAGATGTGGTATTTTTAAATAATGGAATATTACTCAGCTATAAAAAGTGTGAT